TCTAAATAATATTTAATCGTCATTATTTTAGTACTTAATTAACTTAACTACAATCTCTGTGGAATACGACCTTGCTCGCCACTACCTATAGCTACGCCGTACACTTGCGGATAGCAAAAATAATTAGTGAACACACCACCTCCTCCCTCTTTCTAGCCACCGGCGGGGCCGCAGGCACTTTCGGCTATGTCCATGTAACACCCCACTTTGATTTTACAGAAATTCCGGACTTTCCAAAAATCAGTACAAGTTTTTCGAGATCATTTTCGAAATTTAATGGGTGTTAAACAACATTTTTCATAACCCAAGTCTTATCTGGGCCCACGGATATTCATTACCCGGTTTTCACAAATGGTTTTCATTAACCAAAACATATCATACGAGACTTAATACTCAACATGAATAATCAAACCACATCATCATAACTAATAATCGAGGGTTCCACAAGTTTTCCAAAAACAAACATGTCATAAGTTTTGGAAAAGGTTTTAAATGAGTCTCCAGATAAATGTCCATAAAAGCCTTATTTATTCTACGGAAGCATAAAATGCGTAACCAAATGACCGACCCACTCGCCTCTTCCCGTCACCCAGCTCCTGCTTATCCTGCATCGGTGCAGAGCAGGTGGGGATGAGCACAAGATGAAAAGCGTGCTCACCACTATGCACATATATCACGATATAAATAATGAAGAGAAGGTATGGTTAGAGTATGAACATAAAACAATTAATCTGTCACGTCTCCTAATCACATCACAACATAATACCCACGTGTACACATCTTTCATTAGCCAAGGAAAAGGGATTCATTACCCTAACTCATGGGGGTACGTGCCATTCGACAAGCACGACCTTTCATTAGGTCTTACGGAGACTTACCTCGCAGGTAATCGTATTACATCGACGGGGACAACCGTACCGACGGCCGAATCGGCTCACGCCGATAGGCTACATGGTTGACATACATACTAAAATCATACCAAGTCAACATTATGATAAACACATATGGCTTAGCAAATTTTACAATTACAACCCACCTGGATAGCTCGGTAGAAAATTGCACACAAGAACAAGTACGTAGGATGAGGCTCGACTCCTCAAACACCTACATTTAAGCGATATAATTTATCAATAACTTATCTCACTACTCAAATTTAACATAAACCCCATACTTCATAAAAATTAAGTCTTAAAGGTTTTAATCGGAATTTTCATGGACTTGGAACTCTCTCATTTTTTGAAAAAAATAAGACTCGGAGGATAAAATTTGGAGTCTCGGGACATAAATAATTTTTCCCAAAATTTTATCATTTTAAAAATATTTTTAAAATTGAAATCGGTATGAAAAACGGCTCCTAGAACTCAAAATTGGCTAAAAACTGAACTGGGCCGAAGCTAAAATTTTAGCCCCACAATTTGGGCCTGAACATGCGAAATGGGCCGCAGCTAAGGAGGTTTAATAGCCCAAGACTTGGCCTGCTAAGGGTGCGGGCCTTTGGGCTATTCGCGGGCTGAATCTGCTGAGGAAGGCGGGCCGCGCGCGGGCTTCATGCGGGTTTCACAGCCCGCGTGCTGGATACCACAAAGAAAAAGAAAAAATAGCCCTCACAGGATTCGAACACGGGACATGACGCCAAGAGTAGAGCAAATAAGCCACTACGCCACACTCTTGATTCGATTTTTAAAATGCATTCATATTTCTTTAAAACATATGATGACCTGGACAAAAAAGCATACAGAACAAAGAAACTACAGAGCTGCGAACAGATAAATAAGAGAACAAAAGCGGGACATTTACAGAGGCTCGAAACAATTGAACAGAAGCTGCAAATCAACGACCCAATATCGACGACAATGCTCGAGCAGGTAACAGGTCCGGGGATTTAATTAAACAATTAAATTTCAGAGTTTCGAAACATTTTAAAAACGAGTTTTATTTTATCGAAACACGAAGAGTCGAAACATAGTTTGAAAACAAGTGAATAAAACGACCCCGAAATAAAATTACAACGAGACTCCTAAACGACATAACGAAATTTTGAATTAACACGATATAGCCACAACAACGTCGTGAATCGATTTTTTATAAAACGAGAGTTCCGATTATCCCCGAAATTCACGAACAACGCAACGAAATAAATAACGAATATACGAATAAACAAATAAACCGAATTTGAAACCCAACGAAACGATTCAACGCGAACAAAAATAATCGAACGATATCATTCTGAATAGCAATTTACGAGGAGGTTTCGAAAAGGTTACCCTTCTTCGGGAAATTTACGAGAAATCAGTAAATGGGTCGGAAAGAGACGGACTGAACAGAGTCTCAACGGGACTCGAAACTATGAACACTGGGATCGCTCGTGAACAGCTACTCGCTGGAGTATACGTCGGCGACGGCGGGGCTGCTCGGAGGTGCACGTCGGAATTAATGGTGGGAGCTGTTGCGACGTTCGTTGCTGGAAAATGGAGCTTCGTCAATGGTGGACTGCAGATGGTAATGAACAAATTCTACTGCATGACTGAGAGGGTTTCTCGGAGAGACGCCGACGAGGGTGAAGTTCGCCGGAATCAATGGCAACTAGAACTTGCAGGTTGGGGATCCCTTTTTTTTTTTTAAATTGCAGGTATGCGATTTTAGAGATGAACTGAGGGGATCGATAAACTCTGATGCTCCAACGATATAAAGGGACAAGAAAGGGGGAGAACGTGCGAGATCACTCACCTAAGGAATCGGAACTGAATTTCAAACTTGCAGATGTGGGAGGACTCAGTCAGTTCACGCGGAGAAGAAGAAAGTTAAAGCCTTGGGCTGGAAATTAATTGGGCCATTAATAATAATCACAATGGGCCAAATTGTGATTTCAAGTTGGGCTAGAGAACTAATACAAGTTGGGCTGGGAACAAATTAAGAAGGCTAAAATTTTAAAGTAAAAACGGGCTAGAAATAAATTGCCATTGGCCGAGAATTAAAATCGAGAAATATTGAACGATACGATTGACGACGAGTAAAAATACATTATACGACTTAATATATTAATTAGACAAGAACATCTAATTAATTATAATAAGTCCAAACGCGATATGTCGAGCAATATCGGAATATACGCAATTAAATAAAATAACATGCAATAATTCACATAATAATGCCAATAAATAATATTCGAAAAATCTAATATTCGAACGGGGAATTACAGCCTACCCACCTTACAAAGAATTTCGTCCTCGGAATTCAAAAATAAAACTAGAAAGCGATAAAATACAAAAGAGAACTCAGAACTCAAAGTTCGGATAGCGCCTCTTGATATCGTCCTCCCTCTCCCAAGTCGACTCAGTCTCATCGTGTCGGATCCACTGCACCTTCACTAAGCTCAATGCCCGGTTCCTCAGCTGGTGGACCTTCCGGTCCAAGATGGCTGCCGGTACCTCCTCGTAGGTAAGGTCTCGCTCGACCTGCAGCTCGATGAAGTCCACCACATGATCAGGATTATGAACATACCTCTGATGCATCGAGACATGGAACACGTCGTGCACACCCAACAAGTCCGGTGGTAAAGCCACCCGATACGCCAGATTCCCGACTCGATCGAGGATCTCAAACGGTCCGATATAGCGAGGTCTAAGTTTCCCTTTCTTCCCGAAGCGTGGGTGAAACCTTCAAGAAGACATGGTCTCCCACTGCATAGACATGCTCTTGTCTCTCCCGGTCGGCATAGACCTTCTGCCTCTCCTGGGCAGCCTTGATGGTCTACCGGATCTCTTCAACTGTCGCTGTAGTACTCTGAACAAAATCCGGACCCGTGATCCTCCTCTCTCCAACCTCATCCCAATACAAAGGAGTCCGGACCTTATGTCCGTACAAAGCCTCGTACGGGACCATCTTGATCGAAGAGTGGTAGCTGTTGTTGTAGGTCAGCTCGACTAGCGGAAGGGAATACTCCCAAGTCAGGCTTCGGTCCAAGACCGCAGCCCTCAATATATCCTCCAAGTAATGGATCACACGCTCTGACTGACCATCTGTCTCGGGGTGAAAGGCTGTACAGAACTCCAACCTCGTCCCCATGGCTCGGTGCAACGTCCTTCAGAACTGGGATGTGAACTTGGCATCTCGATCCGAAACAATCGCCACGGGCACCCCATGAAGCTTAACAATGTCCTTGACGAACAATTCGGCGTAATCACTCGCCTTCATGGTCGTCCGGAGCAGAAAATGGGCAGACTTCGTAAGGCGATCCACTATCACCCAAATCGAATCATACCCGCCCCTTGACTTCGGCAGTCCCACTAAGAAGTCCATTGTGATGCACTCCCACTTCCACAGGGGAAGCTCAAGGGGCTGCAACAACCCTCTCGGTTTCTGGCGCTCAGCTTTCACTTGCTGACACACCAGGCACCCATCCACGAACTTCGCTACCTGCCTCTTCATGCCTCGCCACCATAAAGACTTCCTCAGGTCCTGATACATCTTCGTGCTACCAGGATGGATAGTGTACGGGGCACTATGGGCCTCTCTCAAAATCTCCCTTCGCAGCTCCCACACCTTCGGGACACAAAGTCTACCCTCAAAGACCAAGGCCCCATCAGATGCGACTGCGAATCCACCAATTCTACCAGCTTCCGACAACTCCCTCATCCGGCATAGGAAATGGTCATTCGGTTGCTCGGCGACTATCCTCTCTCGAAGAGTCGGTCCCACAACCAAAGAGGCCAACACGCCCCCGGCTGTCGAAGTTGACTCCACTGCCTCCAACTGTAATCGCTCGAACTCCCGAAGAAGAATATCCTGCTTGGTGAACAAGCAAGACAACTGGCCATAACTCTTCCGGCTAAGGGCATCGGCTACCATGTTAACTTTCCCAGGGTGATAGCTAATGGTGCAGTCGTAGTCCTTGACCAGCTCCAACCATCTGCGCTGCCTCATGTTCAGCT